GCTGTTACAAATGGTATTAGAGCTAGACACTGGGCGGTGTGCCAACGAGAACGTTGGGCCTCTAAAAGGATGGATTGTGAGATCCCACCTCGATTGGAGAGTAGAACGAAGCATTAGATCATTCAATTTTTAGTTTTGTGTTCGATAAGTTCAAAACTTTTAAAGATGAAAGTGAGCTACCCTGTGGCACATGCGTGTGTCATAGTGTGGGCAGGCGTGCCGAGACGAGTGTCTCGAGCGACTTTCTTTGAAATAGGTTTTTCAAGGATAGTACTAGGCCGCACAGGTGTGCTAATATGCGCCACAGCCTGCGTGTTGGAGGTTGCTACATACACTCGCTATCCGGCACAGTATCCGTAAATGATACGACATGGGCATGAGAGAGCCAATACCTCGATAGAACCCGGATGGATAAATGTTCGAGAAGTTCCGATGAGATAAGCAACATGCGGGCCCGTTCTCGATCGCATGACCGAGCAAGTTGTGATGACCGACGACATCCCGAGACTCAAGATGGCATCAAAACATGGACCATGTCGATGGGGATCGAGATGACAAGATAAGATGCGACATTGCATTGAGAGACCTTGACCCTGAGCAGAGTCAAGGTCGAGCTGAATAACGTGTTTATTAAAAGTGTGTCTATTATTTTTATTTTTTTAATGAACTTTCTCTACTAAATTTACAAATTATTCTAAATTTGGTTATGTTTTTGTATTTAATGGTCACTTCAACTGTCCGTACAATCATGAATTACCATATCAGTCCTTTCAGTGAATCGAGACAACATTCAAACCAAAGTAATCTTGAAGATATAATTAACAGCTACTATCTATATCAATAATGTGCACTTTTCTTTTCGATAACTCAATCATTAGAACTCCAAAGTCAAACGTATTTAGTTTAGAGCAATTGTAGTGACCTCGTAAAAATTTCTCTAAAAACATATTTGTCTGTGGTTGTAATAGCACGATACCACCGAGAGTAGATATTGTCTGATTTTACTCGTTACGTATCACCGTCAGCCTCACGATTTTGAAACACGTCAATTAGAAAAAGGTTTACACACTTTTATAAGAAACATTTCGTTTCCCTCTCCAGGATTTCACAATCTACCTCCTGAGGGCCTATCGTCTTCGCTAGCATACCCTCCGATATCAAGTCGGAGTCTAAAAAAGTGACATATATGTAAATCAAATGGGAAGTTAGAATTAAACATATAATGGGAGAATATTTTAGATATTATTTTTAGAAAAAAATAAAATAAAAATTGGGTGGGTGTAATTGTCAAGAACAATGATTGAATAGTGGGCCCATTGACCTGAAATCTAGATAGACAGAGATAAAAGAAGAGAAACTAAAAGGGAAAAAAAGAAACCCTAATTTTAAATATTATATATATATTTCATTTTAAAGGAAAAATTGTATATATATTTTCACATTTCTAACCATCAATATAGGGACGAAACCGTCTTTCTACACAAATCTTAAAAAAAAATTATTTTTTTTTTTAAATTTAAGCATGTTATTGTTGTTAAATGAACGCGACTCTCCACCACGATATGATATTGTCTACTTTGAATATAATCTCTCGTAGCTTTGTTTTGAGCTCCCCAAAAGGCCTCGTACCAACGGATATAGTATTCTTTAATTATATGATCATTCTGTAAATTAGTCGATGTGGGACTTTCATCCAACAAATATAATTTTGGAAAGTTCATATTTTTTTTTTCAGAACATAGTAATAACGGCTTCGTTTATATTCTAATAATAAAAAATTTTAAAGCTCAAGATTATTTTTGAAATACTTAACAATAAAATATTAATAATTTTGGGTTTTTCAATTTTTTTTAAAAAAATTAAGGGTATTTAAAAAAATTTCTTTTCAATTTAACAATATTAATGAATTTTTTAAAAATTCAACAGCATTTTTATTAATTTAACATAATAATAATAAAATGAATTTATTTATTTATTTTTGTGTAAATTTGGAGGGAAAAAATATGGGTTCGATCATTAAATGATTTTGCAATCGATTGGTTTATGATTGAAATAAAAAGAAAAATGAGGAGAGAGAGAGAGAGTAGAGAGAGAAAGCAGTTTAAATAATAATTTCCTTTTTTATTTATAAATAAAAATCAACCTAAATTATATATATGGGTAGAAAAATAATTTTATGTATTTCTGAAAAGCACTTTTTTTTTTGCTTTACAAAATGGGGTTTTCTTTTTAGGAAAAGTTTAGTTTTTATGGACAATTTTTTAACACCTCACTTAGTTAAGTAAATATTACTTCTTTTAATTACGTAATTTGTGGGGTTTTCATCCATATTATCACGATAAGGCTATGCATTCTCTACGACATGGTCACGTTATTTTTATAAACCAACACGTACAGTCATCTGATGGTCGTTACATATCGTCATTAGCTTCATAGTTCTAAAACGCGTTTATTTTAGAGATGTTTCCACACCCTTATAAGGAATGTTTCGTTTTCCTATTCAACTGATATCATTTGTAACAACTCAAGTCTATCGTTAGCAAATATTGTTTACTTTAGCCTGTTACGTATCGTCAATTTCACGGTTCTAAAACGCATCTAATAGGGAGAGGTTTCCTCACTCTTATAAAAAAAAATGTTTCGTTCTTCTTCTCAACTAATGTGAGATCTCACAAGAAATTGATTGTCGATTCTTTTAAACATTTCTTAACTATATCATATCCTCGGGATCGCTCCCGTTTATAATAATTATGGGGTATGAAGATAATTCCAACGTTTAACTTCAAGAGAAAGAAAACAGTTATATCTTATATTTAAAAATAAAATAAAATAATACTTCTTAAAAAAATATTTTCAATAAAAACAATTATATATCGTTATATAATATACACACATATATATACCTATATATATACACACACATATATACACTTTATGTATTTGAAAACAAAACACGTTTTTGCTTTACAAAATGGGTTTGTCTTTTTAGGAAAAGTTTAATTTTTACCTTTAATTTGTGAATGGGTCAATTTTTAAATACCTCAATTAGTTAATTTTCCTTGTTTTTTAATTTTTAATTTTTTTAATTTGTTCAATTATGTTGGGTCCTTTTAATTTATTTTTCATTTCTTTTGTAATTTGTGCATTCATCAAGTACACAATTGGCACCTTTAATATTTGTTTGACTTTGTAGTTTAGTTAGATTAAAGTACTTTCATGATTAGGTTCAAATTTTCTATAATATAAATTTAGATATTTTTTTAGTGTGTATTTTCATTTAATTTCATATATTAAAATTAAAATTCATTCATGGAGTCAAATATTAGCAGTGAAATGTTTTTTTTTTCCGAGTCATTAAATTTTTGTACAACCCAAGTTCATCGTTAGCAGATATTATCTGTTTTGGTCTGTCGTCATCAACTTCAAGGTTTTAAAACGTCTTACAATCTACCCATTTGGAAGGTTATCGTTCTTGCTGACACACCGCTCCGTGTCTAGCTTTAATACCATTTGTAACAGCTCAAACTCATTGCTAGTCGATTTGATCTATTACCATTAACCTTATAGTTTTAAAACGTGCTCACATTGAAATAAAATATCATTAGAAAAATGTAATAAAGTATAATTCAAATATGTGTGGGTGAATTTTTAGCTTGAAAAATAATTATTTACATATATAGTTCTTTATTTAAGAACTTAAAAATTAATTTTCAAAGAAAGTTTTACTTGTATGGAAAACTAAAGGAGAGAGAGAAAGAAGGAGCTTTCACATCAGGAAGCGAAAGGCTGTCACGTCTTTGGATCAGAGAGTCAGATTTTGTTCACATTTTTTTAAAAAAATAATTTATCTAGATATAAAACTAAATTTTATATTTAATAGTTCATAAATTTTTAATTTAATTTTGTAAAATTTTTACAATTTGAAAAAAAAAATATATAATTGGATACAATTAAAATTTAAAAAAATTTAAAGACTAAGTAAAGCTATCTTAAGAATATAAAAGACTAAAATAATTGATATCATAGAAGTTTCATAGTTAACGTGTTTATCTTAGAGCAATTCTATATTAGTTGATATTTTGAAAATTTTCTTATAAAATATGTGAGTGAAGATAAATCATTTTGTCGTGTCGGGGCCACCTAGTACCTAATTTGACAAGGATAGTATTTACTCTTAGAAGTACTTCAAGGCAGGTATGTAACGTTCTGTCATGTTGGGGCCACCCAGTGCCTAATTTGATTTCAAGATCATAGTTCAAATCTTGAACATGGAGCGTTACAAAATAGATACAAAAATTAGATAAACCAACATAATTGCATAATAGCAAATGAAAATGTAAAAATAAAGTTAATGTAGCATCATCATGAAGAACATTTTGAGAACCGCTATCCTTAATTGCCTCCTCCTTCCATCTTTACAATTTGGCATCAAAACTCAAATAACAAGAACATAAGACCAAACATGTGGGTTAAATTGACAAACAAGCTTAGCCCAGAAGAAGAAGGAACAAATAATTACAGTAATAAATAAATAAATAAAATTAAAAAATATATGACCCACATAATATAATAATACCGGAATATTCAAAATCTACTGCTCAAGATCAGTCAATAATTCACAGAAAATAACAAAAGGCAAGTTTTTATCACGAACAAGTTGGTATATAAAATTACAAAAATGATGATGAGTGGTAACGTAATTGAATTTATTTGCAGATAAGCCAACAACTTTTGACCATCTGTATTCTCTTCTCGTGACTGAACTTCAACGAACGCAGGTAATTCAACAGGAAATGGGTAAATTTTCTCCTTTACAACACCAAAGAGGCCAATTTCCCTCTACAAGACTGACTTTCGATCAAACCCAGGGTCCCACAGCTAATTTTTACCATCCCCGGGAGTCCTAAATTTACCATGATGGAAGACAGGAATGCTACCAATGGAGTGGACAAAATTCACTAAACTACTGACTTTGTCCACTAGAGAGCCACAATGACATGTATCAAAGCGTTCTATTCATAGAAAAAGGAAGAAATTTGAACTGAATTCTATTGAAGTACGTTGTGAAAGATCATGTAAAGCCTAACTGAAACTCTCTTCCCCTGAATTTCTATGGTTTTTCAGTCAGAATTTAACATAAGTAGTAATATACAGCGTAATCCGCACGGATTATTTGGTATTAGTACAACATACTTCAGGCAGGAATACGACATTAGTTCAACTCACAACAAAATGGTACCTTGAATCGACATAGCTTTCGATATCCCAGAGGAAAGATCCAAAAGTGACAGCTTCCAAAACCAGTCCCTTTAAACCTCCAAAGCTGATTTTCAACAGTTCCTCTTTGGAAGGATCGATGGTTCCTTGAGGTGTTATAGTAATTTCAGGTCTGCCAAACAATGCTTCGGTGTGCTTCTCGATGATGCCAACGGCCTCTTTGGATCTTATCGTTGCGTATCTCTGAAGTGTCTCCCCGTCAAAGGACATGACATAATTTCGCAGTCTAGAAGCTTTTGTACTTTGGCCAGATCCCCCAAGGCTGCTCTCATCATGATCAGGCCAGGAAGAGATTTCAGGATGAGGTGAAACAGGTGGCGAGTTCTTTCCAATAGGAGGTCTCACATCCTTTCCCACAACTTGCTGAATTATACCATCTTCTGCATCCAATGCTTTTGGAAGAACTTTCATAGTCTTCTCAAGCTGAAACCTCTGGTCAACTCGCTTAAGAAAGTAGCCATATATCACTGAAGCGGCATAGACCTGGCCGACCCTGAGTTTGTTTATTTGTGCTACTGAGGTTGTGTCACCAACCCTGTTCCCAAGGATGAGAGCAAGGTGGTTCTCAATCATTTCATAAGCTTCAGGCGAGTGAAGATGCTCAAAGCTCTCATAATGAGCAGCCCAAGTGTCAACTCGACCAGATACATCAGAAGATGAAGGGGTTATTGCAGGTATCAGGGGAACATTAGCATCCATGAATTTCTGTACAACCAAAGCATATAGGATTTCTTCTAAAACCTTTTTCCTTTCATTTTCCTTGACCTCAGCGATTCTCCTGATGGTTGCAGAAGCAATAGAAAAATATCAATACAGCACCTCGAATCTAGCTGTTTGATTGCTCCAGAATCGTGTTTAGCAAAGAAAAAAGTTTAAAACGCCAGCAGAAACCAGTTATATTCAGGCACTCTCTCATTTCCTTTAAAATTAAGAATCAATAACTTCTCTGTAGGAGCATAAGAAACGATCTATTGTGTAATAAAAAATCCACTAACAGCCCAACATATCGCCATTATTAAGTTGTATCCTCTCAATACCTCATCGAGAACGGTTACAGACCTACAGTCTAACCAGGACCTAGAATGCAACTACCTAGGACATTTAAATTTTTCATGTTTCCATGTCACCCTCTCTCTATATAATAATAAACAAAAACTTCCACAGGAGAAGTATCTATGCCATTCTAATATTTGTCGAAAAGATAATTAGTGCAAGATAAGGAAACTCACCTGTACAAAACTAAATCAGTACCAGAACTAGACGTCTCCTTATTCCCCTCAGCATCACGGTCAATTTGAAGCTGGTCAAGATGTTGCTCAGCAGCAGCTGGGACAAGATGAGGGTGGCTAACCAAAATTTTGGACAAAAACTGTCCAATTGGAGACTCCAACTGAAGGGGCGCAATCGGATCATCTGATTCAAATGACTGAGCATCCATTGATGCCTTAACTTCCATGCTTCTCCTAATTCCTGAGCCCAATTTCTTATTCCAGGATTTGGAGTAAGAAACCCGAAAGCATAGCTACCACAACCCATAAAAAAAAATAGCAGAATCCAAATCAAACTCAAATTCAAATGCAAAATAAGATGCCATAAAAAAGTCACGATTATGCTGTAGTTGAAACAAATTGAGAAGATGTAACATTTTTTATAATTCATATTAAACTTATACTATCTAGTGAAATTTCTTTTAAAAAAAGTTCTCAAAAGTTTACTAATGAATGATAATCTTGTCCGTCTTCGCTACCATGTCTCAAACGTTGGATACATCATAAACGAACTTAACTTTGCAGTGCATGGAATTAAAACTTAATCCAATAACGAAAACTACCACAACACATCACAGTACAAATCATCAACAGATTCTCTAAATAGAATATACCAATCGTCGCTAAGATCCCAAATAAACAAGTCCAATGACAAAACTGCAAACATAGCAGAACCAAAGCAAACAAGAACAAGCCATTTCAGAAATAAAACATCGAATTAAAAATCTCCAAATCAATCAAGTTCAATTAGGAAGAAGAAATTCGAGGAAGGTACAGAGAGAAACATTCTTACTCGAGTAGGGACATGCGATAGGGACGGAAGGCACACAAAACCACGCCCACTGCCGTAGATTACCGATCTGCCGGTAGGCTTAAGGCATGCAAAAGCTCCAACAGGAGATCCAATCACACTTGCCATGGCAGCTTCCATGCGAGCCCTGCAAACAGAACAGTCCAAATTCTCACCATGTACTAACCATGCCCCAATCAAATTGTGAAGAAAACTGAAAGCAAAAGCGGAAATAAACGCCGAAAATAGAAAGTAGAATCGAGAATGGGGAGTTTTACCGATTCAAAAAGGCGAAACCCTAGACGAAGATGGTGGTCCGACCGTTCCAGAGAAGAAATAGTGGAACCAAATGGCGGGTGAGAGAACTGGATATCGAATCCGTCCACGAAGGCAGCTTTTTTTTTATTTATATAAAATTATTGAAAATAAATTTACGACATGTCGTTCGTGATTCCCGTTCTGAAAATATTAAAAAACAGGATCCACAAAAATAAATAATACCAATTTAAAATAATCAGTTAGTTTAATTTTAATTTTAATTTAAAATTGTAAGTGTTCAGTGTTACATTTATTTAGTATACCATCTATCAATTCTCACTTTTAAGTTTAATTAATTTAGAGCCCACTACATTTTATTATAATACCGTCTATCAATTCTCACTTTTGTTCCCCTCTCTAACTGATGTTTGACTATTACGCATCATCGTCAACTTGATAGCTTTAAAACGCATTTACGAGGAGATCCACACACTTATTATGAGGAACATTTCGTTCCCCTCTCCTCTCCAAATGATGTGCGATCTCACAATCCACCTCATCCCCTCTCCAACTGACATGCAACCTCACAATCTACCCCCCTTGGAGACCTAACATTCTCGTTGGCCCATTACGTATCATCGTCAACCTCACAATTTTAAAACACGTCTACTAGATACCCCCCTTGGAGACCTAACATTCTCGTTGGCTCATTACGTATCATCGTCAGCCTCACAATTTTAAAACACGTCTACTAGATAGAAGCCTTTCACGCCCTTACCAAAAATGTTTTACTCTCCTCTCTAACCTAGAATTTCATACATTAATCCAAACTCACAAATTTCAACCAAATATATCCTTAATGTTGTTTTTTTTTTTTTAATTATAATCAACATTTAATTGGAGTGAAACCATATGAAAATATTTTTTTGACAATTTTTCGTAATAAAACTTGTGAGATAATAGAAATTGAGACATTGAGACACTTACACGCACCAAAACTACAAGATTTTTTTTTTTTTTTTTTTTTTTCC